AAGCCGTGCTCAGGTCTTGCAAACTCAAAGTTAATGCTTTCCCTTATTGCATCAATCCATTTCGTGTTCAGTCTCCCTCTTCTCCTGCTGCCTCCAACTCTTCCTAGCAATATTGTCTTTTGCAGCTAATTTTGTCTTCTTATTAAGTGCCCAAAACATAGCAACTCACTTTGGGTTCTCCTAATTCCAGCCCAGGAAAGTAACAGATCCAACCTATGGTTTTACTATCCAAGCACAGCATGCCTTTGGGCCTCGCTACCTGGATATTCTGGCAGTTGTACCCCAAAAAATAACATTGACAAGCAATTGCAACAGCATCTTCTTGCTGCTGTTTCCTGGAAGCTGCAATCCAAATGAATGCTGCTTCTGACACGGGCAAAGATCAGGAGGCTGTCTTAAGGAGAATTAGTTTTACTTCCAAGGCTTCATGAGGTTAATGCTTCCAAGCTCTAGAATAATGTTATAAGTAGCATCTAACCAACAAAAATGGCAATCATAGATCTTCTCTTATGTATTGTCTGATCCTCAGGCAGCTCTGTTGCAGACCAAAACAAAAAAACCAAAAAAACACAAAGCACTACAGTATACCCCATGATTCTTGTGGCAAAGTCCTCCTGACTTCATGGCAACTTCCGAACATCCGAGTTCCTATTATTTACAGCGCTGCTGAACTCTTGCAGACTTAAAGCGTGTTAAATGAAAGGCCCATGGCTCTTAAACCAATTTCTGTTCTAGGGTGTAGCAGCACATGAGTCTGTTTTCAAGTTAATGTTATACATGTGAGTTTGCAGGAAATAACTTGGCCAACAATTATTAGCAAATGTGCATGACTGATAAGCAGTCCCTTGAACAAGGAACGGATGCCTCCAAGGTTTAGTCAAACCCTCTTCAAACTGCGCTGTGCTCTGTAAGGTAACCGGCATCTTTATAGATGAGTTTAGTGGGTTTCCAGAAAATGCCCTGCTTTCTCCACTAGTCGTTTCTGCTGCAGCTTTTTCGAGCCATAAGAGTCTCTCTTTGAGAAAGTGTAACAGCCTGTGGCTAGTTTCCTGACTATAGGGACAGTCTCGGAGCTCTGCTTAAGGGCTAGTGAAACATTTTCTTTCCAAGCATGGGCAGGCAAAGGTTTGAGAAGCAGGACGGGAAGACAAGACCTCTTCCTTCTTCAACCCACTGTCACCAAGTTGCTATTCCAGGCAAAGCTGCCTCCAAATCTCAAGGCTGCTCACATCTCTGTTCTTCTCTATGGAAGTGGCTGCACTCTAGTTCCTAAGCCAAAATTCAGCTTATTTCTGGTTTGCGGAGAGCAAGCCCAGGGGGTGGTGCATGCTTGCCCAGTGGCTCCTCTTGTGAGGTGAACAAAACATGGACCTTCCATCCCCATAGTTGGTTCATCACAACATCTGAATCCTACAATAGGGCTTGTCTCTCTCCCAACAATCCAGATAAATAGGCTGGTCATGTTGGCTGGATGCTTTTCTTATCTCTCAGCCAAGCTTTCTGTACACTATGCACTGCATTTCTGATCTGGCTGGTAGTAGATCGGTCACGACCGACTGAGGTCTCTGCAGCCTGAACAAATAATTTCTTCCCAGATTGCTAACTTGAAGATCCCTGGATAAGCCTAATTACTCCATGAGCTCAATCAAGAGAAAAGGACCCCAGCTATACTGATTCTTTTCACCCCTCTGTTGTACAGATACATTTTTCCCAGCGGTCACATGGTCTATTTATTTAACTGTGTTTACACAGTTTTGAACTGCATCACTACATTTCTTTCTACAGTGGTGCCTTGCCTTACGAATGCCCTGACCTACGAACAGTTTGAGATACGAATCGCTCCATTCACAAAATTTTGCTTTGACTTGCGAACGGAGCTTTGATTTAGGAACAGGAAAAAAGGCAGGGAAAAGGGGCAGGAAATTCAAATATACTAACTGTTGGTGGCGAAGAGGCTGCTTCTTTGTAGCTCTTTTGCCCCAATGGTTAGAGCAGGGGTCAGGGAAATGTTTAACTTTTACAGTACAGGAAAGTACTGTACCGGGAAAGGGATGCAGCGGGGCCGGGCCACTGCTGGGTCCCGTTCCCGCCGGGCCAAGAACTGAGCGCAGCCGGCCATTGGTGGGTGGCTCCTGACTGCTCTTCGGGGCTCCTCACCCAACGCAGCCGGCCGTTGTCCCAGCAGCGGTCAGTCCTTGGCCCCAAAGAGCAGCCCAGGAGCCGCCCACCACTCTGCATCATGGAGCACGCCCGGGAAGTGAGCAGCGCGGATGGACCCTGCACCGGGAGCCAGAGCCATATATCTGATGTAGTACATCAGCGATAGTCTACAAACAGCCAAACAAACGTTTTTCACTTCCCCTCTCCACTGCCAAGACAGGGAAAGTGATTAATTTGCCAATATTCTGAAGTGACTCACTTATTAAGCCACTTCAGGATACTGTATTGGAAAAATTGAAAGAGGGAGGCTTGCTTTGGATCACAGACCCATGATGTGATCAATAGTAGGCATCCTTCAAGTCTTGAAAGACTCTGGTCACGTGCTCTGAATAGAGGTCTTGGAACAGTGTCTAGTGTGGCTGAGAAGGCCAATTCGAGAGTGGCCATCCCTTCCACAGGGATCACAGACACTGGAAACCAATCCAAACCAGAAACGCAGAAACCCTTGGACAGGCACCAAAAAGGTACATGTAAGAACGCTCGGGGTGTCTGTGTGTGCTCTAGGAAAGACATTGTCCGATCACCGTCTTTAAGAGCACCCCAGCCTGCTCCGGCGACCAACATGAATTTGACCCAACTCTGGGAGGCCGTGGAAGACAGGAGGGCCTGGCGTGCTCTCTAGTCCATGGGGTCACGAGGAGTCGGACACGACTAAACGACTGAACACACACACACAAGAACGCTCGGGGTGTCTGTGTGCGCTCTAGGAAAGACATTGTCCGATCATCGTCTTTAAGAGCACACCAGCCTGCTCCAGCAGCACTCCAAACAGCCCATGTAGTGAGCCTCTTAAGTTCCAAAATGGAACAGTCCAGCCAGTTTCCAGCGAGCAGAGCCTGGCAGTTAATGAGTTGGCCAGGAGAGGGAGCCATGAATCAAGGTCTTTGTCCAGGAAGGGGTTTAACACAGAATCCAGCCGTGGTCATTCGCCACTGGAAGCTGGCTAAAGTCACGGTAGACACAAAATGCCATATTTAGAGCCATATTTCGAACACCCCTCAGGCCTGCAAAGGAAGAGTGGGTTGTGGCTTCTCCTGGAGGAGACAGATTCCCTAGATTTACTTCAGTCTGGCTTCAAACCTGGTTATGAGATAGAGATGGCTTTGTTCGCCTTGGTGGGTGACCTACGCTGGGAACTGGACAGGGGAAAGTGTGTCCCTGTTGGTTCTGCAGGACCTCTCAGTGGCTTTTGATACCATCGACCATGGTATCCTTCTGGGCCATCTCTCTGGGATGGGGCTTGGAGGAACCGTTTTACAGTGGCTCAAATCCTTCCAAGGGGAGAACTCAGCAGGTGGTGCTGGGGGACTCCTGTTCAACACTCAGGCCTGTGGGGTCCCTCAGGGATCTGTTTTGTCCCCTAGGCCATTTAACATCTACACGAAACCACTGGGAGAGGTGGTCCAGGATTTTAGGATTCAGTGTCAGCAGTATGTGGATGACACCCAACTCTCTCTCCTCTTCCCATCTAAATCCAGTGAAGCTGTCTTGGTTCTAAATTGGTGTCTGGTGTCAGTCATAGACTGGATGAGGGCGAATCAACAGAAGCTTAATCCAGACAAGACAGAAGCGCTCCTGGTCGGTCAGCATCTCTCTCTACAAGCCTGCCTGGGCATTAAGATAATTAGAGGTGGTCTTTCTCTCGGTCCCACCACCTTCACAGGTACATTTGGTGGGGACACAGGAGAAGGCCTTCTCTGTGGCTGCTCCCAGCCTTTGGAACTCCCTCCCACTGGCTGACCCCTTCTTGGCTGTCCTTCCCCAAACAGGTGAAGACCTTTGTCTTCAGGCAGGCTTTTCCTTAATAAATGGTGCTCTGAGAGGGTTTTTAAAATTAATGGTTGTGCTTTGTTGTTTTAAATATGTTCTAGTATTGATTTTATTACTGATTTTCATGTAATACTTGTTTAATTCTTTTTAAATATTTGTATACCTACTGTTTTTAGCTTCTACATATTGTCTTTTTAATTATGTAAGCTACATTGGGCACATCATAAGACAACAAGACT